GAATGTTGGAGTCTGCAGCAAGCAAGCCTCGTGCTCGCTTCAGTGCCTGGCTGCCGGCCGCCATCTTGGCTGACAGTTAATTTGCATATACTCACTGATTAGCCAATGAAAAGGGTAGCGGTCGTACGCTAATTACCATGTTTCTCTTTTATTAGTGTAGATATATATACACACACGATTACATCACCAACTTAAATGCCACAGGCAAGCTGGGTAAAACGATCTGTTTTGAGTTCACTTTATCTTTCATTTCCCCTGTGAAGTTTCACAAGAAGGCCACAAATTATTTTAGACAAAAGAAGTGGACTTTTAAGAGAGTGGAACTGCAAATCTAAATCCAGAGAGCAGAGAGGGCAGTAACTCTTCCCAACACTGTAGCAGAGGGTGCCTTACCCAGGTTGTGCCGTTTGGACTTCGCATGTTCGTGAATGTGCTTCTTTGTGAAACAGCCGAAGAAGACACAGTGGAGGCAGGAGTGCAGCCTGCTCAGGTGGACTCCACAGACGTGGCAGACGCAGGACTTGGCCTGGAACACAGAGAAGAGAATGAAAACCAGCACAAGTCCTCAGAGAGAAATATGCAAGGCGAGCAAGGGGGTCCGTCCACAGGGGCACAGCGTGGACGGGAGGGGAAGCAGGGACTTTCCTCAAAGTCTCATTTTGCTAAAAGATCATTCTGTTCATACCTTCAATGGCCCCCAGGCCCCCGAAGGCACTTCCTTCATTTAGCTCAAAACTAGCTCCATGTAAGAAAACAGTCCACAATTCACCAAAACCTGTGAGCTCCTTGGATGTGCCCCACATGCGCTTTAGAAGCGAAGTCTGCATTCTGTCTACACCAGCCGACAGGCCCAGGCCCAGGCCCAGGCCCAGGCCCAGCCCCAGCTCCTAGCCCCATAGCAGGCTAGCAACTCACAGCCTATCTACTCTGAATCTGGGTAGCATTTTAAATTTGATAACCCCCAACCACAGCACATTTAGAAGCAATAAACAGACAGCGAGGGACATGATCCAGAGCAATATACAAAAACAGGAAAAGGGAACAATTTTTTGGCCAAGAATTAGACCACAGAAACAAAACTTTAGTCACAGCAATCATGAGCACAGTGTTCAATAATTCTCATACACCCACACCAACCAAGAAGGTCAGTTTTCTACCACAGTATGGCAATCACACTTATTTTAAATACTAGAGGCCCAGTGCACGAAATCATGCGCGAGTAGGGTCCCTAGGCCTAGCCTCCGATCAGGGCCATGCCTGCCGCATTGCGCCGCCCCAGGACACCCTGTGACGCTCGCTGCCGCCGCCCTGCGACACTCCACAATGCTTGCCTCCGCCGCCCTGCAAAGCTCCGCGATGCACACCTCTGCCACCGCCGCCCCATGACACTCCCCGCCCTGCGACACTCCACAACGCTCACCGCCCCATGATGCTCACCGCCCACTGCCGCTCAACAGTCACCAGTCCTGCCATGCTGCTACCCCCCCCCTCCGGCCCCCTTCACCATGGTTCCCTGTTCGCCATGCTGCGATAGGAGCCTGCGGGGGGGGGGGGGGGGGGACCAAGAGGTGGTCAATGCCCCCCATGGCGACTGGTCGAGTGGTCTTATGCTTATGGTCCTGGCCTTTTATTATATAGGATAAGTCCCATGAGATTGTCAGAATGAATATCCAACTGCTAAGATGATACCGCACACAGTATATAGCAAACTCACTTCTATCTTAACTGGGAGGGAGGGGGAGATGAAGGAAGGCATAAACTGGGTATGGGGAAGGGAAGATTAACATTGAAAGGGCCACTGCCCAACCGGTGTGGCTCAGTGGTTGAACGTCGACCTATGATCCAGGAGGTCACCGGTTCGAGTCCCAGTCAGGGCACATGCCCAGGTTGTGGGCTTGATCCCCAGTGTGGGGCGTGCAGGAGGCAGCCGATCCATGATTCTCTCTCATCATCAATGTTTCTATCTCCCCATCTCCCATACTCTCTGAAATCAATAAAAATATATTTTAAAACAAAAATTGAAAGGGCCTCTAAAAATAACAGCAGGCACCAACATTACCTGCTACTTGCTGAATGCTCGCTAGACACTGGACAGTTATTCTCATTCAATCTGCACAACCACCCCATGAAGAAGGCTTTAAGCCCCTCCGACATTGAAGAAATTTAGTGTACATGCTGTGACAATACAGCCAGCTAGAACGTGGACCAGGACCTGCCTGATCCTAGGAGCCCACTCGACCACATAGCCGGAGGCTGCCCCTTCTAAGCTTCCCTCTGCACACACAAGACCAAGCAAGGGCTCAGCCCAGAGGGGACAGGCTGAGCCCTCACTCATGTGGAGTGCAGGGCCTGGGCACTAGTCTGCAACCTTTCTTTACATAAAACAGAAACCATGGGAAACTCTTAAGAGAGCTGCACAGGGGTGTTAATAACTTGTGCGGCCTCCAGAAGAGGCAGAATCAGTGGAGAGGAGTTGGCGGGAGGGTGTGTGGAGTGTGGAGGTCCACTCCATAAAGTGAGACAGCCCTGAGATGAAGCATTGGTCAGAGAGAACCGTGAACACCCTAAGACCACGGCACAGATGCTCCTTTACATCAGTGCTCAGAGTGCACTCCCAGCCTGCAACCAGGGAGAGGCCCATGTCCCCCTCACCCCCCAGCTGGGGAGAGGCACACATCCTGTCTCCTCCCTTCTCCCCCCTCCCCCACTTCAGCTGGGGAGAGGCACATGTGCCCCCAGGCACACTTCTCAACAGCAGCATCAGCAGCACAATGAACGCTGCAGGGCTGAAAGTTCTGTCTGTACTTGGAGCTGTGCGCTGTGTGTAGGATGTTAACCAGCGCCCAGGGCCTCCACCCACTAGGGCCTCCACCCACTAGGGCCTCCACCCACTAGGTCACAGAGCACCCTCCTCCAGGTGATAGCACTGCAGGGCCACAGGGGGGAGGCCACAGAATGTCTGATGCTGCAGTAAGGCCCTGCCATTGCCTCCTCACTGCCAGGCTCTACGGGCCCTTCCTTTGCCTCTGTAACTTCTTTCCTAAGTTCATTTCTTCTACAAATTACTTCTTTATCTCTGTGATTTTCCGAATAAATGTTCTCTTAGACCCCCCCCAAAATGCCAAAGCAAAAGAAGTTGTATCATCTATTTACTCTTCCCAATGATCAAAGGAATTAACTATAATTGCTTTCAGTAATACAGAGGAAATTTTAAAATTGCTCATCTATACATATAAAAGGCTAATATGCAAAGTGTCTCCTCAGAAGTTCAACTGGGAATTCGATTGCTCACTATGATGTGCGCTGACCACCAGGGGGTGGCACAGAACAAGGCGAGCAACCAGCGGCGGTGGTGGGGCGCTGAAGAAGTGAGGGAAGGAGGAGACAGGGAGGCGGGGAATCTGATCGGCCCTGATCACTGGCCAAGCCTAGGGACACTACCTGTGCACAAATTTCGTGCACTGGGCCTCTAGTACTGTTATATTTGATGTGTAACAAATGACGTTTACAAGTACTATGGAAGATTTCATTCCTTTAGTTACAAAACCTGTTAGGAACAAAGTCCTAGAGATTCTTAGAATACATTTACTGTTAACAAAACTATAGATTTTAGTAATAAAGTAAGGGAAGGATTAAGAGGTGTCCTTTATTTTCACTACTTTATTGTTAAAACTTTTTCTTTTTAATTTTTTATCACTAATTTAAAAGCATGACCAGAGGATTTTTTAAATCCTCTATGAGCTTAATAAACCCAATTCTCTCCCCCAATATATAAAACAAAAAATTCAAGGCTAGCATTACCTTGAAAATATATACTGTATTTTTCATTGTATAAGACACCCTCATGTATAAGACGCCCCCCACTTTTCCCAAAATTAAGAAATCATTATTTTAAACATAAAACAGAACGCATTTTATTTAGTAATTACTGCAGTTAATGTTTACGTACCAGTACTATGATACTATGCAGCATATCACTTTATGCAGTCTCTGTTGCATCACTGCTCCCTTCTTCATCACTTAGTTCCAGGCACATCAATTTCTCCAACTTCTATTGTGTCACTGCTGTCTTCTGAGTCACCGTCTGTATACGTGAGATCCCCCTCATAAACTGGTGGCATTTTCTAACTTTGTTCGTGTTCTCATGGCCAACCCAACTCTCCTCATGAAGTTCCAGCGTCCATTTCACTTGCAAACATTCTTGCCTGACCTTGAATAAGTGTGGTTGACACACATAAGCCACTTGGCGCTGCTCCATAATCCAAGTCTTAAGCCTCTGCTCCACATTTGCCCATTTTGCTGGTTTTCCTCTTAAGGCCTTCTTCTTTTGTGGCATCTTAGGGAGTTGTTCTTCCTGTTTTCTCCACTGTCTGATCATACACTCAGTGGGAAGAGGTCCAAATTGTCTCTTTGCAGCACTATTTCCTTGCTCTTTTGCTTAGCTGATTACATCCAGTTTGAATTTTGCAGAGTAAGACAATCGTTTACCAGTATTTATTTTTTCACTAGATGCCCGGCACACGAAATTCGTGCACAGGTAGGGTCCATAGGCCTAGCCAGCAATCAGGGCTGATCAGAGCCTGCCGGCCGGGGCCTTCCTTTCACGGAGGCCGGCTGCCAGCTGGGGCCTTCCTTCCCCGGCTGCTGGCTGTCAGGTGGGGCCTTCCTTCATTCCACGCCACCCCTTGGTGGTCAGCGCACGTCACAGCAAATGATCAAACTCCCGGTCTAATTCCCGAAGGGGGATTTTACATATTAGCCTTTTATATATATAGATAGAAGATATGTTGACATCTTTATGGGCTCAGAAAGCTCTGGTCCCTGTTGCATCTGCACACTCTCCACCTCCATCTCCAATTACAGCATCAGGTGACGTCAGTAACAATAAGACTCATGATTGGAGGAAGCCTGTCTGACAAGGTATGGGCAGCTATGCACCCACATGGCTCCCTCCTCGGCTGACTTACGTGTATAAAACGTCCCTTGATTTTCAGTCTAACAATTTTATAAAAATATAGCAACTTATACATGAAAAAATACAGTACTCATCATGATTCTTAGCAAGATAAGTACACAATTTTAACACTTAACACCATTATTTTCCCTTAACATGAAAATTTTGTTTTAAAAATTGACCAAAGTTAAGCCCTGAAGTTTAAATGTAAAACTGCATCACCTGTTCTGTTGCAGAACTTCATTAAAGAAAAAATCTGCCTAAAGAAAAAGTACTTCAAGAATTTCTGCTGCACAAAACGGAACTACAGAAATTAAACAGAGGCCAATTAGCAACAACTACAAACACAGAAAGTGGTCATGTCCTGCTGTTATCAGTCAGGGAAAGAAAGCCTTAACACGTTAAGCGCCCAGGCTGTTTTTTTGAACAACTCAATTCATGTAACATAAAATTAACCACTTGAACAAGTCAATAATGAATTGTTCAAGTGGCTAATTTTATGTTACATGAATTTCACCTCAATAAAACTACATTAACTTATTTACATGCACACACGTGATGCATATTAGGGCAGGAATATCTCCAGTTTCAAGGCATCAGCACAGACACCA